ACACCAATAGTTGAGGTAGTTTTTTGTACTTTACCCTTCTTTTTAATATATGTTCTTGTATTGAAGTAAAAAAAAGTGCATTTTGAGCATTCGCCCTGGGCACCAAATAACTCAGGATTGACCATGTGTGCAAGATAAAACCACCCAAAGACTATGGTGTTTGAGCAATATTAGAAAATATGAAAATAATAAAAGAATTGAATGATGATAATCATAAAGAATCACAAACCAAATATATCATAATAATAAGTGTGTATACAGTCAAAGTAAATAGAGTAAAGTACAAAAAAACTACCTCAACTATTAGTGTCACGACACTTTCATACCTCATCTTTTAAAATTGACAATGTCATACCTCATCTTTAGAATTTGGTCCAATGTTATACCTAGTATTAAATATTTTTAAAATAATAAAAAAAAGTATTAAAAAAAATCCCTTTGTTCGTCCCTCCCCCCCTCTCTCTCTCCATCTTCATCTTCTTCCTAGCTTAATCTTCAACCAAAAAAAAAATTTGGGTAAAGTACAAAAAACTACCTCAACTATTGGGGTCACAACAGTTTCATACCTTATCTTTAAAATTGACAATGTCATACCGCATCTTACGAATTTGTGACAATGTCATACCTCCGTCAATTTTCTGTTAGTTTTTCTGTTAAATGTTGACGTGGCAAGAGATGGGGACCACTTTCTATTAAAAAATTAATAAAATATTATTAAAAACTAAAAAAAATATTTAATATTTTTTAAATATTAAAATAATAAATAAAAGTAAAATTAAAAAAAAAGGGGTAAAGTACAAAAAACTACCTCAACTATTAGGGTCACGACAGTTTTATATCTTATCTTTTAAAATTGATAATGTCATACCACATCTTACGAATTTGTGACAATGTCATACCTTCGTCAATTTTTCTGTTAGTTTTTCTGTTAAGTGTTCATGTGGCTTGATTCGGGACATACTTTCTATTAAAAAATTATTAAAAACTAAAAAACAATTATTTAATATTTTTAAATATTAAAATAATAATAAAAAGCAGAGAAAAAAAAAAAAACCCATCAGTTCGTCCCTCCCCTCCCCCTCCCCCCTCCTCTCTCTTCTCCCCATCTTCATTTTCTTCCCCCCACCTGCAAACCCAAAAAAATAAAAAAAATAAAAAAATTTTGAAAACCCAACAACCCCCCTGCGAAAGAACAAGAAGGAGAAGGAGGAGGAGGAGGAGGAGGAAGAAGAAGAAGAAGAAGAGGAAAAAAAGGAGGAAGGAAAAAAAAAAAAATTCCCCCCTGTCGGCGCGGAAGAAGAAGAAAGGAGAAGGAGAAGGAGGAAGAAGAAGAAGAGGAAGAAAAGGAGGAGGAAGAAGAAGAAAAGGAAGAAAAAAATTAAAAAAATTTGAAAACCCATCAACACCCCCTGTGGAAGAAGAAGGAGAAGGAGAAGGAGAAGGAGGAGAAGAAGAGGAAAAAAAGGAGGAAAGAATTATTTTTTTATTTTTTTTTTAAACCATCAACTCCCCTGGGGAAGAAGAAGAAGAAGGAGGAAGAAGAAGAGGAAAAAAAGAAGGAAAAAAAAAATTTTTGAAAACCCATCAAACCCCAAATCCACCACTTTCATCGATTCTCCACATCCTCTTCCGCACCCATCCTCCACCTTCTCTGCTCACCCATTTTCCTGCCAACAGGATCTGGGTCTTTTTTTTTTTTTTTGGGTTGCAGGAGGGAGAAGAGTGTGGGTGTGGGTTTGGGAAAATTGAGTGTGGGTGTGGGGGGAAGACAAATTGGATTTTTTTTTTTTTTGTTGGGATTTGCAAGTGGGGGAAGAAGATGAAGATGGGGAGAGGAGAGAGGAGGGAGGAGGAGGGAAAGGAGGGACGAAATGAGGGTTTTTTTTTTTTTTTTTTTTCTGCTTTTTATTATTATTTTAATATTTAAAAATATTAAATAATTTTTTTTTAGTTTTTAATAATTTTTTAATAGAAAGTAGGTTCCGAATCAAGCTACGTTAGCACTTAACAGAAAAACTAACAGAAAAATTGACGGAGGTATGACATTGTCACAAATTCGTAAGATGCGGTATGACATTGTCAATTTTAAAAGATGAGGTATGAAACTGTCGTGACCCTAATAGTTGAGGTAGTTTTTTGTACTTTACCCTTTTTTTTTAATTTTACTTTTATTTATTATTTTAATATTTAAATATTAAATATTTTTTTAGTTTTTAATAATATTTTAATAATTTTTTAATAGAAAGTGGTCCCCGTCTCTTGCCACGTCAGCATTTAACAGAAAAACTAACAGAAAAATTGATGGAGGTATGACATTGTAACAAATTCGTAAGATGCGGTATGACATTGTCATTTTTAAAAGATGAGGTATGAAACTGTCGTGACCCCAATAGTTGAGGTAGTTTTTTGTATTTTACCCAAAAAATTTTTGAAAACCCATTAACCCCCTTGGAAGAAGAAGAAGAAGAAGAAGAAAAAAACCCCAACCCAACCCAGTTCCTCCCCCCCCTAAAAAAAAAAAACCCAAGAAGGAGGAAGAAGAAGAAGGAAAAAAAAAAAAAAAAAATTCTGAAGCGAACCTAATTCGTCCCCCCCCCCTCAAAAACCAACCCCCTGCCAACCCCAAATCCACCACTCTCATCCATTCTTCACATCCTCTTCCGCACTCATCCTCCACCTTGTCCGCACACCCATCTTCCCGCCGACTGGATATGGGTTTTATTTATTTATTTTCTGGGTTGCAGGAGGGAGAAGAGGGGGTTGGGGGGAGACAAATTAGAATTTTTTTTTTTTTTTTTGGGGGGGTGGGGGGAGGAAGATGAAGATGGGGGAGAATAGAGAGGAGGGGGAGGGGGATGGACAAACTGAGGGTTGTTTTTTTTTTTCCCTTACTTTTCTTTATTATTTTAATATTAAATATATATTTTTTAGTTTTTAATAATATTTTAATGATTTTTTTTAATAGAAAGTGGGTCCCGAATCAAACCACATCAGCATTTAACTGAAAAGTAAAACAGCCAAGTAACGGAAGGTATAACATTTGACCAAATTCTAAAGATGAGGTATGACATTGTCAATTTTAAAAGATGAGATATGAAAGTGTCGTGACACCAATAATTGAGGTAGTTTTTGGTATTTTACCCAAGTAAATAATAGATAAAGTAAGAAATACTGACAAACTTGGAGATTGAGGCTTGCATAAATACAATGTCCTAAAGACAGAATTTCATAGGCGTCCATCTCCCAGGATTCAACAATCTATAATCCAAAATTGAATTACTTCAATCTTCGAACTTTATATATTATGTACTCTTAAGACACGACTCGAAATTTAACAAATGAAGAATGACATAAATAGAGTGGAAAAACCTTATTTCTCAAAAGTAAGATTTGACTCACTAATTCCCTTTTTAGTTATTTTCTATGTCCGGATTGCTTGAGTTTATATAAAACCCAATGCACCTTCTCAGAACTCATGTTTCTATTAGTCTTAAACCATATGACATCTGGCACCTATTTAAAACAACCAAATAGTTTTCAATAATTGACATCTAAAACCAACAACTTTTCATTCAATATTAAAAATTATAATATTATATAATAATATAATTTCCAACATATGGAACAAAGAACTTAATTGGAGGAAATACAATTTGCATAAGATGCAGGTTTTTGTTCGATAGCCAAAAGAATCTCTTGACGTCTACCGTGCGATCCACATGTTGAAGGCATAAGAAGGCTCTTGCACTACAAAGGGGATTGAATTGATTTAACAGTGTAGTTGGAGCAATGATGATTTCAGTTTGTAAATAGAACACGTAACAAAGTGACTCATCAATTAGCATCTAGGTTTTCTAATTCGTGTTAGTTGTGTCAATTATTCCTGTCAATAAAAATAGTCAAGAATTCTAAATAAAAAGAAAAAGAATTAAACAAGTTTGTTGTGACAAAATCACTATTAAAATGTGTTATGCTATTCATTTTAACAGGTTCTATCAATTGCATGTTCATATAAAAAAAAACCCTCCAGTTTGGGTGTAATTTCAACCTTATACCACATATTTAAACCAATGCAATCTCATACATTTAATTATTATTTAATTTCAATATCGTACAACTGTTCGAAAAATATGTTAAGTTAGCCATGAAATGATGGTAATAGTGGATTCCACATTTGTATTGACGAAACTGCCAATTTGTGCCACGTGGAGGATGGTAAAAACCAACAACAGCAGAGGACGGTAATTCTCTTCAAATTGAAAACCCAAATCTCCTTCTAGGTCTTCAATATTCCAACATCTCGTCTTCAGATTCCATGTGAAAATTGCTTAAAATAAAACAAAACGATATCACATGCCATAATAAGATAAATAACGGGGGAATTTTTTTCCTTGGATGATACATCCTTCTCTTTTTGTTTTAAAATACTTTTCTTATACATTTAATTGTTTATTGTTAGGGTATCTAATTTGTATATTTATTTACACAAAAATACTCTTACACATTATATTATATTATATATACTAAAACCCAGTTGGGTTCCGGCACTGTTCAGCAATAGTAAAAAGACGGAAATGCCCCTGATTTTTTGTTTGCTTAGCCGTTTTGCTGCAGCTTTGCACAGTTGAATATTTGTTATGCCCCTGATTACCACGCGTTGATCATCCTTTGTCTGTGTGGTTTGATACCGTCATAGCGAATGCACGACGTTTCCCTTCTAGCCCACGCATCCATCATCGATGGCCCTTTCAATTCGACTTCTTCCCAATTTCGCTTCTCTCGCCATTCTCACCTTTTGGGTATTTTGGAACCTAGGTTTTTTTCTCTCCCGCATTGCCGTTTTACTTGCTGTTTAGCGTTGCCATCTTTCTCCAGATCGGCAGGCCGATAGAACCCGGCAAGGTCAGCATGTAGTTCTATGGAAGTACCGCCTGTGATCTCAGCCATCTCAGCCATGCTTGCGCCGCCGTCAATTTCGTTGTTTTGTTCAGGTTCGCACATTCAATCTCATTATTTGCATGTTTAATTTAATATTCATGCAATTAATTGTGCTTTCAATTAGTGTGGAAGTTGATATGTTTGATTTTGTGCATGTACTTTATTTTTTCTATTTTCTGTTAGAAATTAATTTACTTTTCCTTGGAAATCGTTGAGCTCCTAGAAGTTTTTGCCTTTTTTCTTAATTTGATCGAAATCCATTTCTTACCCACATAACCTAGAGTCTCCTGATGAGTTTTTCGTCGTTCTCAGTGTGTCTGATTTAATTTTTTTTTTTTTTTTTTTTGTTTTCGATTTACAGATGGATTTTGTGTTTAAATTTTCTTTTTATAATTTTGGGGGTTTTGTTTATGTGCTCGGATGCTGTGTGTGGCTGTCTGATTTCGTTCTTTTTTTGCTTTCAGCAAATGCTGGTGTTCTTATTTTGGGGTTTTGCTGAGGGTATATAATTTGTTGAAATATTTAGTTTTTAATACATTAACAATTTTGCTGGGTCAGTTTTTGTTATCGACTGTTTTTTTTTTTTTTTTTTTTTTTTACTTTCGATCTCCTTCTATTTGAGTGGTATGCTGGTATACAATTTATTGTCCTAAATTCACAATCTTACACTTCACAAATTTCACTGCTCAACCTATACTCAGGTAATCAGTTCAAAGTTGGACTATTTTAACCCTTTCAATTTTTAGACTCTATAATGTTAAATCCAGTGTTTTATTTTGATTCTACATTCATTTTGATTTTACTTTTGACTTTCAGTCTACGTTCATTTTGATTGAGTTGTTTTAAGGATTTTGTGGGAGGACTCCCTTTGGAATTGCCGAATGCTGTTATTTGTCGGGTGGATGCCTTGGACGTAGAGTTAATTCCTACTAAAAAGGTATAGAAGCTTAGCTAGACCTTGATTATCATGTAAGGAAGTAAATAACTATGAAAGTAGCTTCACTATGGTCTGTAGTCATCTGCCACACCTTTGCATGACTCTTATATACCTTTGAAATTGAATTTGGGTTTTGATTATTTCAATTAGTTTCTCTGGTTTATATTTCAAGGTCAGCCGGTTTTGTATTTAGCATCAATCAATTGCTTTTTTCTTGGTGAGTACCTAAACGTTTACACTTTCAGTTTAACAGAAAATGATAAATTGTAGCAAACCCATAAACTTATTTCGTGACTATCACAATATTCTTTCAATATTCTACGTTTTGCTTACAATTCTGTTCTCTCTAGGATGTTTAAGTGCATTTTTGGTTTTTAAGTTTCACCGCCAAATACCGACTGTGTGATTGTGTTTTCTAACCCCTATGTTCTCAATAATGTTAATGTTTTTTGATACCGTTTTTACATCTTTCAAACACAATGTTTAATACAATTTTCAAATTCGCAGTCATTTCGAACTCGGATTCAGCCAGCCTGTGGTAAGCCTTTATTTTTCAATTGCTTTCATTTGTTTATATGTGAATCAATAACTTTTTGGCAAATAATGAATGTCGCAATTGCTGATAAATTGATTCTTTGTTTAAAAACTTGAACCGTAGATCTGTGCAAAATATCCATATATGGATCAGTGCCATGGACTCTTTTCAACCTATGGACCTCAAATCTCAGTGCGTCTTCCATCATTTCTCCAACCTCACTATATATGGAACTATTACATTTGCAATCATATTAATTCCTTGAACACAATATTTATATTTCTCTGTAACCTGCTAATTTTGGAATATATTATCGTTTCCTTACTGGTACATGAAAATGAAAATATAAAAATACAACCGGTTTAAGAAGCTAATCTCTTTTAATGTTCTTGGTTGCCTACAATAATTTTTAGTTATGTGAACTAGAAACCATGTGTGATTTAACTTGCAAAGTTTCTCTTATCACCCCTCTGGATAGTTTTGTGAACGAAAATAAGCATGTCTCTGTTTGTCTTTGAGTTTTCTCTAATTAAAAGTCGGAACAATGTCAAAACAAGTAGAAAATCCGTTTCTCTACAAAAGAGGTAGTTGTCACTGGTAATCTAGGGAAAATAATTCAGTCAAAGATGAAAATAAAATTATTAAAGTAAATAATAAACCTTATATAATTTGTTTCTAATCTTTGAATAATTATTGTTGTGTCATCCTGAGAGCACAATTGGTGCAGCTCAAATGGATCTGTACCAGAGCATCTTGCGCAGTTGTATGGTGGCTCTGCAGCTCACAACACTCTGTTCTTATTTTATTTTTGGGTTAGAGCATGCATATATTATCAGTTGCTAGATGTCATGATCAATCCCTATATTATATGTGAAATAAAAAAAGAAGGAACACTCTATAACTCTAATCAGATGTCCACTGAAAAGAAAACAAATCACATTATAGACCAATACATGTTAAAATTGTGTTGAAATAGAAAGATGAATAGAATGTTTCTGATAGAGATTACCCATGATAACAAAATGGTCAGACACTATTTAATGGTTGTCAAGGTTGGATCTTTGTCTTAGTGAATAACAGTACATCTTATATCAGGGAAAAACACTAAGATCTGATACACTATCAATTTCGTATGACAGGAGAAATAAAAGCTTTAGAACGCACTCCTTTTTTTTTTTTTTTTTTTTTTTCATGTTTCAGTTTGTTTTTCAAATCAGTTGTCGATGCTATATGCTTTTTACTAACATATGTTTTTTGTTTTTAATAGTATACGAACATAAAAAAAAGCCTCCAAACCTCCAAAGACAGTAGCAAGATCTTTGTTGATGGTAAGCTATTATTCTCTGAGATCTGTTTCTTTTTGTTTATTTCACATGTGTGGCTATTTATTGAAATTTGATTTGTCAAGAACTGGAGATGGTCTCGATTTTAAGGTTAAAATTGAATCATCCATGATTTTAAAATAATGGTATTTTTATTAAACCTATAACGATGGACGCGTAGGTTATACATGCGGATTGTCACATTATTGTAGTTCTCAATTGATTTATGGTAGGTAGTCTTAACTCTTCGTCTATGTACCAATTTTTTTTATTTTAGTGCTCAGGTAGAAATTACAGAGGAGCTTATTTGTTGGAGATTTGAAGAGTAAAACTTAGCAGCGTGGTACCGCCGAAAGTGGTAATTGCTAATCAGGTTTCCACTCTTTTTTCCACACACTTTGGTTCAAAAGCAATATCATTTGAATGATGGAACATTAAGTTAGCATCTCAAGTGAACTGTATTTGCCACTTCTCTTTTAAATGAATTTTAAGATCAGCTCTAGTCCATGTTTGTTTAACAATATTGTATCATTCATTATATAGTTTCACAAAGATCGTGCATAATTCTTACTGAACTTGGTTTGGATTTCTTTTGTTTAGGGATAGAGTGAGCGAATCATAGTTTGACCAAGTCTTGAATGATGAATTGAGCCAGATCATTGAGGTCTCTTTGTCAAGTTAAATTTTCATTCGACTTTTTATTTGTAATGCTTGGTTCTTCACTCAAACATTGCTTATGAAGTGAACGAATTTGCATAAGTTTGAATACATTTCCAATCCCGCAGCAACGCGCGGGCACCATTGGTAGTTATGGTTCTATTTTCACGTCTATTGCAATTTTTTTTTCTTTTTTCTTTTTTTTTTTGTTTCTAGAGCTTTTTTGTCCAATACAGTTTTCTGTTCAGTTATGGTTTTTACCAGTTTGTCCTCATTTTTTTTTATTTTTCAATGTTTGATTGTGAAGGAATCAAAGGGCGATTTAGAAAGCTTCACCATTTTGGAGTGCTGCTTTATATATGTAGATGATACTTCAAATTGCTTTGGTGGTTAAAGAAGGCTTTTTGTTTTGTTTTGTTTTTTTGTTTTTTTTTTTTTTTAATACAGTGGTTAAAGAAATTATCAATCATAGATTTACCATGGATTTTGTTAGTAAATCTTAATCATAAATCAAAATTTTCATTTGTTTTCTATTAAAAAGTTGAATATTCTGTTTATGTAACATGACGATTTCTTATATGCACCCGAAAACTACCATCTAATAAAGTGAAAATCAAACTTGAACATTATCCAACAATAATGAAAATAATAAAATTACATGACATCCCAACAAGTCAAATGAAAGCATATACATAAATTAACCTGATAATAATTCTCTTCACCTTAAAAATTAAGGAAAACTAATGAAAATAACTTGAAAACTTTGAATTTTAACAATAAGGACAAAATAAAGAGTAAAGGAAATAGTATCATGATTGACTTTTTAGTATAAAAATGTGGTTTTTCGTTAAAGCGAATAATACAAGGAGTTTTTCATTAAAGTTCTCTAAAAATTATAGAGAAATCGATCCCGAAAACTAACTCAATAAAAGACAAAAAAACAGTGTCAAAATTGTAGGGTTGTTTTGTTCCTTTCCAAGTTTCCGTGAGATTTTTCAGTGTGACCGATATACATGGTACGTTATGTATCACTATACAAATGGTGGGATATATGTGTTAAAAAATTAATAACTTAAAAAATAAAATTTCTCACCGCTTCTATTAAAACACATTGTGTACTATTTATATTATCGTCACAGTTAAAATTTTCCCCAAGTTTCCAACATAACCACGTGCTAAAATACGCAAAAGAAAACACCATAAATACGAACCCCACCCGATGACCAAATCATTACTTCATCATATTCCCCCGCCATTTCACTCCTCAACTACCGCCGGCAATTCCGTCTTTAACGCTCCTCCATCCCGCCACGTGTCATCCCTCCCACTGGGTCCCACCTCCCTCCGTTGCTCACCAAAGTCCAACTATAAGCACAAAGCAAACCCCTCTCTCCTCTCTCCTTCCCTCTCTTCGCCGTCGCTCACCGGCAATTTAAATTATTTATTAATTTAAATTTAGAGAAAAAAAATAATAATCTTTCGAGAATTTCCGAGAATCCGTTACGGACAAGACGTTCCAGCTGCAGATCGGCTTACAGGAGCTTTTCTCTGACTGAACGAGCATTGCTGACCGTCTGATCTTCCTCCTGATTTCCGGCGATTCGAACCCAAAAAGGTAAAGCATTACTTACGTTTCGCACCTCAATTTTCTCGTTAAGTGCTCCGAAATTCGCGGTTTCTGGAATTTGTGACGGAAATGCGAGGTTTTTCGCAGGGTGCATTGCGTGGATGCGCGTAAGTGATCAGAGACGAGAATGTCGGGCCCGCTGGATCGGTTCGCCAGGCCTTGTGAGTCCATCTCTCTGTCTCTAGTTCTTTCTCTCTCTAGATTTTTGTCGGTGCGGCTGTGTGCTTGTTGCTGTTGAATCTGGAGGGCTTTGTGTTTGGTCTTGAGGGGACTGTGGTTTTGGATGGGTTTAATTACTTGGCTGAATTTAGGGTTTCTGTTTGGTTGCTGAGAAAATTCATCAGAAATGAAACGGAAATCTGAGGAAAGTTTAAATTTTGACTTCCCCCCCTTTCATGGTTTTGTTTTTAGTAAATGGGTCGTCTTTTCTCAGGTCAAGACATCAAATTTTACCAATTTGTTGTATTATATTTGTTAATGTTTTAGAAAGTTTGAATTTTGACTTTCTTTTTCCTCTCATGCTTGTGTTTTTAGTAAATGGATCGTCTTTTCTCGGTCAAAACATAAATTTTACGAATTTGTTGTTTTATATTTGTTAATGTTTTCAAAAACCCTATTCTTATTCTTGTTCTCAAATGCGGGTTTGTGAATTCGGTTAACGCCGGCGAGTTTTTAATGTCAATCCCGTTGTTGTTGTGGTGCTGCAGGTTTTGAAGGGTTTTATGGTAGTGATGAGAGGAGGGAGAGGAAGTCTGATTTTGAGAATTCAGAGGATGAGCGGAGGACTAGAATTGGGACTCTAAAGAAGAAGGCGCTAAATGCATCTACCAAATTTAAACATTCTCTCAAGAAAAAGGGTGGTAGGAGAAAGAGTGATGGCCGAGTCAGCTCTGTTTCCATTGAAGACGTTCGTGATATTGAAGAGCTGCAGGCTGTTGATGCATTTCGACAAGCACTGATTTTGGATGAATTGCTCCCAGAAAAGCATGACGATTATCATATGATGTTGAGGTGCTCACTAGTTCACCTTGCACAACTGCATATAATCATGCATACAAATACCTCTGGAAGTTCATAATTAGATAGTATATTAATTTTTTTCGTAGAAAACTGTGCCTTCGAGTGATATACTCATTTTTTGTTAAAATTATTTGGTAAGATAATAAAATAAACTAGTAATTTCTTGAAATATGGTTGAATAGTTCCTGTGAGATGGGTAATATTGATGAATTTCTGGTAATATTGATTAATATGGTTTCTCATATTTAGACATTAACCTTTAGACGTTACCTTCAGGTTTTTGAAGGCAAGGAAGTTTGATCTTGAAAAAGCCAAGCATATGTGGGCTGATATGCTTCAATGGAGGAAGGACTATAGTGCTGACACTATCATGGAGGTAACGACGGCTGATAAAATTTGTTTGATCATGCATACTTTTCATTTCTCATTCTATCTACCATGTTGATGTTTCTATCAGGATTTTGAGTTCAAAGAGTTGAATGAAGTTCTAAAGCACTACCCTCATGGGCATCATGGTGTGGATAAGGAGGGAAGGCCCGTTTACATTGAAAGATTGGGTAAAGTAGATCCCAATAAAGTAATGCAGGTTACGACTATGGATCGGTATGTGAAATACCATGTTCAGGAGTTCGAGAAAAACTTTGCAATAAAGTTTCCAGCTTGCACCATTGCTGCAAAGAGGCACATAGATTCAAGCACTACAATTTTAGATGTCCAAGGCGTGGTATGTTACCTCTTATCTGTAATCAACCATTTCTGTATTTACTTTTCATATTAAGTACAACCATAATATCTAATTATTGTGGATTCATTTGTTTAAATTGTTTCAAAGGGCTTCAAGAATTTTACGAAGTCTGCACGAGATTTAATTACACGGTTGCAGAACATTGATAATAACAATTACCCTGAGGTATGCAATCACATTTGTTTAGAACTTTGTCTTAGCTACTTTTTATATGGATTGGAAATTCAACATTAACACCTCATTTGGACCTTTGATTTGTTCACAACTGGTGCAGACCCTGTGTCAAATGTTTATCATTAATGCTGGTCCCGGATTTAGGCTGCTGTGGAACACTGTAAAGACTTTTCTCGATCCTAGAACAACATCAAAGATTCATGTATGTAGAAATTACTTTTTTTCATGTATCAGAACTATTAAGGTTGGGGGGGTTCATTGGAAATCTGTCACGAATTTAGTCATTTACCATCCTTCTTTGATTGTATACAACATTTTAGGTTCTTGGAAACAAATATCAGAACAAATTGCTTGAGGTAATCGATGCCAGGTGAGAAGGCGGCAGCGTATCTGTCATCCGTAATGCTATATTTGTTCTATCGCAACACACATAGAAGTTCATTGTGATGTACTTGTTCCAACTATGATGTGAATCAAGATTGTTGATCATGCTGAATCATAGCTGAATGTGTGGTTGTCAATGATAGTCTGGCAATACAACATTGCAACCTCTCTGTAAATATAGACACTCAAAGACAGATATATATTATATATAATATATGTATGTATATCTATTTTTCTTAGTATTATTTTCTATAATGATTTTTATCTTTCCTATGTTAAATTTATAATTGCACTTAGCTTAATACTTACAAAGATTTCTTCCAAGTATGCAGTGAGTTGCCAGATTTTCTGGGTGGTAACTGTACCTGTGCAGATCAGGGAGGTTGCCTTCGATCTGATAAGGGGCCATGGAAAAACCCTGAGATATTGAAGGTTATTTCTTGTTCTCTAGATTTCCTTTCTGCTGCATATTCTTTTTAGTTTTACAAGATTTTGGTGCAGTTTATATTTGTTTGTTACTGAATCGAGCTTGCTTATGCTCTGTGTTACAGATGGTTCTAAATGGTGAAGCACGACGTGCAAGGCAAGTTGTTAAAGTCCTAAACAGTGAAGGGAAGGTTCTTGCTTATGCTAAGCCACAATGTCCAATGGTAAAACTTATATAGTTTTCACTGCTGCAGAATAAAAAGTGAGATTTTTGCATTAGTTTTTACATTTTATGGGGGGTTTTGTATTGAAGCAGGTAAAGGGAAGTGATACATCCACTGCTGAGTCAGGATCTGAAGCAGAAGATATTGCGCCCCCAAAAGCTTTGAAGAATTATTCACATCTTCAATTGACTCCTGTTCGCGAAGAGGTAGGTTTAACCTTTTTATATGTAACTATTGTGATGAATTGATTCATCATTGGAGCCTTAGAAGTTATATTGACCAATAGAGAAAAAGGAACTTATTTTGCACAGGTAATTGATATATCTCTTTAAGAGTTGTTGGAAGTTAGGGGAGCATTCTTGTTTGCTTTGTTTGATAGAACAATCTTCTAGACAGGATAGAAGTAGAAATTGAGCATTGACCTTTTTATGTTTAATTTGATATGGAAGTCTTACTACAGTAGGTTGGTTGATAAGTCATTTCTTCCCTCTTCTTAGCTCTTCTGCCATATCTTAAAAGTAAAAATAACTTCCTAGAGTAAATCATTGCGTAGGTTTTTCTCATGTAGCGTAATACTTGTAATACAATTTAAAGGTGAAACTCTAACATGTAGTGTGAAATTCGTCTGTGCGTAGGTTGGTTAATAAGTCATTTCTTCCCTCTTCTTAGCTCTTCTGCCATATCTTAAAAGTAAAAATAACTTGCTAGAGTAAATCATTGTGTGGGTTTTTCGCATGATAGCGTAATAATTGTAATACAATTTAAAGGTGAAACTCTAACGTTTAGTGTGAAATTCGTATGTGCGTATTTTTTTGGTAATGGCTAGTGCAGTGAACATTGACTTTGATTGTGTTGGCTTGAATTGGTTAGGAAGTTAAGGGCTATTGGATCCCCAAGAGTAATTAAGATGCGTAATATTATGTAATAAACAAGAATAGCTTGGAAAAGTTTAACTCTCTATTGATGGTTGCATTCATTTGTGGTCAATTATGTATTCTTTAATGTGCTATAATAAAATATGCAGGTTAAGGCCGTTGGCAAGGCAAACAGTGCAGGTAATTTCTCTGGTTATGATGAATATGTTCCTATGGTTGACAAAGCTGTTGATGCTAATTGGAAAAAGCAAGTGGTTCTCCAGAGAACTCATTCTTCCAAAGGTCAGCAAGTCTAACGTCGACTTTCCTGCCAAGATATAACATTTTTTAATTATCATATTGTTATAGGAACGACTTAAACTAGTCCAATATAATAAGACTTCACAGCCTCATAATAGTTGAAATTTCATTACTTTGAGTGATTTACTTTTATACCTGACGTCAGTGTATCTTGTGCCAAATTTTGGAAACAGAGGTATCATGACATTGACATGGACAAATGTTTAATCTTTACAAAATGAAAATGGACATGGATATTTGTGGAATACACCAAAAATATACATAAATCTCTATATATATTTACAGGCGTTACCTTCTTCAGGAAAGTGGGCAGTTCTTAAAATTTTTTTCATTATGTAACAGTTAGTGTCACAACAAATCAGACGTCAAGGCTATGTTTGGGTAAGGGATTTGAAGTCCCAAGGGGTTGAGGCAAAGTTTGTAAGCAATGAATTATAAAATGTTAGATAGGAGGGATTATAAATGCACCACTTGAGCATTGCAAAGCCATGTGAGAGGGATTTGCCAATGACTACTTGGAAGGTGTCATTTACAAATCCCTTTTTACGTTCCGTTGTAATGATTATGTGGTGTATTTCTAAACCCCTCCTATCTAATGCTTTGTAGTATATTTCTTCCTCCCTTGGTCTAAATCCTTTGAGACAAGACCCTTACCCAAACATAGCCCAAAAGTATTAGAAATCACTCTTCAAAATGCTGTATCTTAACTCTTGACTACCAAAAATTCGTTTTTCTGTAACCAGTAATGGAGATATTCATTTTTGTCAAAATTACCTATTAATCAGTGTGCAAGCTGAGCTACCTGCCGGAAACAATTAACTTTGTCCCTCAACAATATATTATTTATTCTTAGTTCATTGAAAGATTATAGATCTTTCAAGCTACGAAGGATAATGTTTACTCAGCATATTATTGTCTTGAACTTGGGGCGTACGACTCCTATTTTTCCTTTACCTGCTGTCAAGTCCAAATGGTATAGTATATGGTACTGAACTTAAATAGTAGCAAACAGTCGCGTTGTAATGCTAGATAACCATATTTGATTGAGCTGTTATTAACTTGTTTTTCTTTTAATTGTATTGGTACTTTACATTATATAAATTAACAGAGTCAAAATCTTTTTCATTCAGGGACACTTCCAGTACCTGACTCCCCTAAGAATCCAGAAGGAATCCAAGGTCGGATTTTGGTTGCACTTATGGCCTTCTTCCTGACTTGTCTCACTCTCTTCCGCTCAGTGGCTTCCCAAGTAACTAGGAAGCTTCCTGATGCATTGGTTAATCACAATCAAAATATTCCGGAAAGCACTTTTGATGAAGCAAACAAGGAAGAGGGTCGTCCTCCTTCACCAACAACATCAATTACTGGGACTGATCTTCTACCCTCTGTACTGAAAAAGCTGGTGGAGCTTGAGGAGAAGGTTGACATGCTCCAAGCTAAGCCATCTGAGATGCCTTATGATAAAGCGGAATTGCTGAATGCTGCTGTTTGCCGGGTAGATGCCTTGGAAGCAGAGTTAATTGCCACTAAAAAGGTATAGAAGCTTTATTTGATTCTTGGGTAAAATGGGTGCCTTCTACCTGCAATCATATTACTGCCTTCAAAAATGTTCAACTTCTGGCTTACTTTGCATTTTATTCTTTCCAGGAAAGACTGCAACTTTGTTATTCTTTGTGTTAGCTAGACCGTAATTATCAAGTAAAAAAAGTAAATAATTATAAAAGTAGCTTCACTATGGTCTATAGCCTATCTATTTATGATGGAATGGCACACCTGTGCATGATCCCGGTGGCAACAAATCTTTAAAAGAGTTAATCTAAGCAATGTGAATTATAAAAGGAAAGACATCAGACCTAAAGGATGGCTGCAATCCCAATTCCATTGGCATTGTACTCAACTTGTATTTTATTTTTCTTTAAGTGTTTTAAGTTTGCATCTCTCTCCACGACATAGTTTTAGTGATTACTTGCATGTGTTTTGCATCTCATTGTGCATGTAGGGGTATACATGTTAAGGTGCCGATGACAGCATGAGTGCTTCTTGGTTGTCACTAGGCTTAGTTTCGGTATTTCAGAATGATGCATGCATTGACTGTTTCTTATGGATCAGGCTCTGCACGAGGCTTTGATGAGGCAAGAAGAGCTTCTGGCTTATATTGACAGGCAAGAAGACGCCAAGCTCCGGGTACGTTAACCATTCAGTCCGTGTAGAGAGATGTGTATTCGTCTTTTTCGTTTCCATGGTTCTATGGTTCATGAGTTTTAAGACATTTTCTTGTTCCCTGTCATCAGAAAAAGAAGTTTTTTTGCTGGTAGAGGTGGTGGTTGCTGTTGAAGAGAGACTACCGAAGAAAGGGATTTGCTACGCTGTTTCTCAAACACGTAAGATCCCTACATGAGTGTTTGACTAGACAATACCGACCTTTGATCTCATAGACAACTATATCATCTGAAATGATGCCCATTCTGTCTACTGAGAACGATACGGAACTGACCGTCGAGTTTTATTTTCTTGAACGAAGGTTGTGTAGTTTGAATTGCTTAATCCTATACCCTTTTTTAAATGTTGAAAGAGCAACAAACCAGAGATTTGATTATAATTATGGCTTATGTGGTGCATTTTATCAACTATAAATTAGATATATAAGGCGTATGACTGAACAATTCTTACTTATCATCGGTTTTATCTAAATTTTCTCTCATTACATACTAGGCCACGCGATCGAGAGAGAGAGAGAGAGAGAGATTACCAATTAGGCCTCGACAATCTGTAAAAATCTGTACATTTTATGTCCACTCGATGGGGAGAGAGACCAAAGGACCCTGGAGGTATTTGCAAAGCTAAAGCGGTATCCATATTTACTCAAAGTATACACAAACTTTAAAAGAAAGGCACACTGCGCAATAATGTACAAAAGCTTTTTAAGTTACAGTACCAAACTAGCAAACATAGAACCGAATGCATTCCACAGCGCATCCGTGGGGGGCCTTACAATCGAACCATCGCCACCACCAACCGCTATCCCTGAACATTACCAGAGCATCGAATCCAATACCCGGAGCTATCACCACCTTACCAAGAGAAAGGGTTCTGCAATCATAGTTCAAAAAACACCTAGGTCAAAAAACTTCTCCACATCTGAAATATGTCAAATATTTACGTCAAAATGAGTGATTTTGGCACACTTATTTTAAATTTACTTAAGTGAGGAGTGCGGAAGGCCAAAAGAGGAGTGTTAGAATCTCTGGACTTTACACAAGTATAAATTAGGTCACTTACAAACTTCTTCTTTTTCTTTCTCAAGTTGGGCGATAAGCTCATCCTGTCGGACAAGGGTGTCTTCAAGTGCCTGCATAAACCAAAATAGAAACAGAATGTACATGTTCACGTTTAGTTTTCTCTTGATATAGATTTTCTTGTTTTGATTTCATTTTTCTTTTGGAAACGCCAACATCAACACCGAAAAACATGAATGTCGAGACAATTTACCTTCTTGGTTGATGACAGCTCTTGTTCCAAGGTGTTGACGCGGTTGATAGCAGCATTCAACATTTCCTCTTTGTCAGGTGGCATGACCGCTGGTTTCGAGCTAAGAGCATTTAGCTTCTCCTCCAGTTCAGCCATGCGCTTCATCATGTTCATATAGTCGGTGCTAGAGATGGCAGGCACAGGCAACGGTTGGCCTTTAACCACCACTCCGTTGTAGTAAACGGGGCTTCCATACAGGGCAGCATCAGTGAGTTTTCTAGGCATGGTTCGCGTAAATCGAACCATGGCAACAATTCCCATGATGAAGGCCATGAGTCCAGACAGTAACTGATTGGTTAGTCCACCAGGAGCCTTGGAAGTATCATGCACAGGGAAGCCTTCTGTAGGAAATTTATCATAATGAACTGACTTAGGCCAATTTGCATCGACAGTCTTGTCAACCATTGGCGCAAAGTTGTCATACTCATAGGCTTGACTGCTCTTGTCCGCGATTGAAACCTGCAAAACACAAAGCAAATGAGAACATCAACAGATCAACGCGGCATGGAACAGCACAATCTGCACTGCTTTTGAAGGGGGAAGCAAAAGATGAATAGAGATCAGTATGATAACGAAGCTCTGCTAAGCTTACCCTTTTAAGTGGACGAGAGAGTCTTCGATGCTCCACTGGAAAATGCACGTCAACCTCTGCAACGGTTTTTGATTTGAAAGAATCGTATCTCTTCATGTGGTAGTAGCATAAGAAACGTAAACAGAAATTTGGCAATTGATCATTAAAAACAAAAGAAGGCAGTTTGAAGAGAGGCCATAATTACACCAAAACTGAAAGATTTGAGTACCTTTGAGGATGCATTCTCTTCTTCAGAGATAATCTTCTCCTCAATGCTGGATAACGACTTCCTTGAGCATTTGGCCTCACCATTATGAACCATCTGGATCATCAAAACAACTTATTTTAATCTTTTGTTCATATTAGGATAGGAGATGCTACAATCAAAACGAAACAAATAGTAGTAAATCACCTTCATTGTGTCTGGATCGTTCCACGGGCCCTTATCCGAGCGCATACAACCACCCTTATCAGCACAAGTACAAGTGCCACCTAGAAACTCTGGCAGCTCGCTGTTACAGATTTTAACAAAAACACGTTATGACAGAATATGAAGCTAATACGTTATTACGTTGCCAAACAAATATGTTACAGCACAACGTGAATCAGGAATGCTTACAATATAGACTAGGAGATGCATGAAAAATTGAACCAATTCGAAGGAAATATATTTTGCCCTGGTGGAAACTTACCTGCCATCAATTATTTCAAGCAGCTTGCTCTGGTATTTGTTTCCGAGAACCTGATGGGTAATCATCAACTCGTTTAGCACCATTACCATATCAAATCGTAATTCGGAGTAGGTTACTGTAAAGGATGAATGCTTACATTGATTTTTGCCGTGGTCTTTGGATCAAGGAAAGATTTCACAGTGTTCCATAAGAGTCTAAATCCGGAACCAGCATTGATGATGAACATACGGTTGAGGGTCTATGATCAATAAAAATTTCGATCAGCGTCATAAAAGAACAAAAACTAGTTTTCTTGCTAGGCAAGCAAACCAAGAAAGCTTGTTGCACAAAAATTGAAATGAAATTTACAGGATACCTCAGGATAGCTGCCACCATCGATGTTCTGAAGGGTCTGGATGAGGTCCCTTGCAGATTTGTTGAAATTTTTAAACCCCTTCACATCAATTACATGAACTAATGATTAATTATTTTGTAACTTAAACGAAGGATAAAGAAAAATCGAAGGATCTAGCTATGTTTACTAACCACTCCTTGGACATCAAGAATAGTGGTGCTCTGATCAATGTGCTTCTTTGCTGCAATAGAACATGCTGGGAATTTACTGACAAAGGTCCTCTCAAACTCCCGAACATGGTACTTCACGTAGCGTTCCATTGTTGTCACTTGCATCAGTTTGTTACAATCGACTTGACCAAGTCTCTCAATGTAGACAGGCCGTCCATCCTTGTCAACTCCGTGATGTCCTTGGGGATAGTACTTCAAAACTTCCTCAATTTCCTTGAAATCGAAGTCCTAACAAAATAACCGAAGGCAAATTTCAGGATACAATAGTACTTGATGAAAGCGTACAGAAAGTTTGAAAAAAAACCTTACAGAATTACCTCCATGATGGTGTCAGCTCCAAATTCCTTTCTCCACTGAAGCATGTCAGTCCACATTTGCTTTGCCTTCTCAATGTCAAATTTCCTGGCCTTTAAAAATCTGTACCATCATACAAGAAGATTACATTTTAATCCTAATTGTTTATAGAAACTCGATCATCTATAACCGTTAATGCTGGCCAAAATATGGAATAAGTTACCTTAGCATCATATGATGATCATCGTGTTTTGCAGGCAGTAGTTCTTCCAAAATAAGTGCTTGGCGGAATGCGTCCACTGCCTTTAACTCCTCTGCATCAATGTTATCCTCGATTGGGACGGACATCACCTTGCTGTTTCTTCGTCCCTTCTTAGTAAAGGAATGCCTAAACTTGGTGGAGGCATTGATTGCCTTCTTCTTAAGAGTCCCAAGCCTTGTTTTCCTCTCATCCTCGGAAGTTTCTTCTTGACCTGCAGAGAATAATTGTAGACAAAGATCATGACAAAGATTGAGTTGGAATACAAACGTAGGCACAAATGTTTAATTGTTAATTATAGCTTACTAGATTTAAGGTGTCGGTCGACGGATGCAGGCATAGTGTCACACATGGTTGATATCTTGCAAGGTTGCTCTACCGCTTTGAGACAGCCAAAGAATAGGAGAGTCAAGCACTCATATATCACAACTTGCTCAAACTAGAGCCCTCGGAGGATATACCCTACACCTATAGCCTTATACACCTAAAAAAGAAAAAGAAAAATTAGAAAACCAACCATGAATTAATGTTGTTAGCATGCATTCAAGGGGTGACTTTTCTTGTTAGTCTTATTTTCCATACAAACTGATTACGTTGTCAGCTTGTGAATTTAGACCGCACATTCATGACATGATCAATGGTTTAGATTCAAAGTCTGTCAACATAAGCACCGAGAGCATTGAAATTATTCGTCAAGAAATTAGAAAAGTGACAATTACCCAAAAGAAGGGTGGCTATGGGGATTGAAAAAGTTGAGCAATCAAAAGCTAGCTAGCATTACGAATGATCAAAAAGAAAAGAGGAAAACAAGAGATTGGGTGTATAGATAATGAAGAAGAAGAAGAAGAAGAAGCATAAGCAGAAGAAGCAGAAGAATACCTTTTTGGCAACAAATAAAGGGAGGTAAGAGAGAAAGTGGTGAAGCATATATATGATCCGAGTTAATCTCTGGAACTGGACGGCCAGACAGACAGACAGGACGACATGACTTACTTCGCAAAGAAAGATTGACACCAAAAAAAGGGAGATTTTGTTTTCATTTTTTTGTTGACATGGTCGTCTCTGTGCATTGCGTTGCATTGCTTGACCAGTTTTTTGCTGTTTATGGTGGTCTGCAGCTGCGAAATGCAAGGCACTCCGTTCAATATCTTTTGTTTTCCCCGCACAAGCTAACTAACTTTTCCCCAACGGCCATCCTTCTTTTTCCACGCAAAATCCTACTATTTTTGTTTGAAAATACCCTCTCTTTTTTTTTTTTTTTGGTGAATAATGTAATAGTTGCAATGTCAAGATAATTAATTAATTTCATTTTTTTTTAATAAACGATATTATCTACATTAAAAAATTGAGGTGATGGGCTAAATCTCACAACTAGATCATAATACTAAGTGGGAATTTCTTTTATTGGTTTAAATCGAAAGAAAAAAGTCCACATGTGAGCATAGCTACATTGGCAAGAATGGATCTGCTTTTACAAAATTTTGATCAATTTAAAGTGAAACGTATAGTTTTATAGCAAAAGACTCGGGTGTAATAAAATAATAAAACTAATCACTGTATTTTATTTTGTCAATTCTCTGACATCGAATTTTTGTATTCTTCAATAGAAATGGCATAACTCCTTAGAAATTACTAGAGTCAAAATTGACACCTTGAAATTGTAAGTATCTTTGTGGAACCTTACGAAACGATATGACAACTGAAATATTGTATTTATACTCCGGTATATGTAAAAGAGTACTTGTTTTGTCTTTGACACTGTGATATTTGAATTGAAGCTACAGTTAGCAATCCATTGACAATTAACCAAGGGCGATGATGAAATATTTTTATTTATCAATATTAATTTAACTTAATATATAATCACATTATTTTAAACTACATACATAAATCATATTAATTTAAGCTACATATATTAATAAAACATGAAAACCGAAAGTGTTTGCTCTTTTGGAGGTAGTATAATTTTGTGTAATTTGCTTCTAGGGTTTATTCTATTTGTATTCATTACTTGGTTATTGAAGTATGGAAGAGAAAGTCAACCACTTTTCTTCTTTCTTGTAAGATATTGAAGTTGCAGACGGGAAAAAAAAGGAAAAAAAAGTCAAGTACATATCTCTAGTTGTCAAGTGTGGTTCTCCACTAAGTTTCCATTGATCGTGGTGGTTTGCAATTGTTTGCCAGCTGCTCAATTCATGTTGACTTGTGGCAATATTTTGGTACATAGATATAAGGTTAGATGCAGTGGGAGTTAGCCCATTGGTTAAAATAGTGCACTCGCTTTCTCGCACTTGAGTTTTTATCCTTCTTTATATATTATAGTAGTTTAAATACGCTTTTGTTTCATAAAAATAAAAATAAATAAATAAAATAAAAAACTATTGACAATATAAATATTAGATTTCGACCGCTATTGAAAAACTGATCATTTAAGCAATTAGAGTTTGAAAAGTGATCGGTTTTACTAATTTTTCAAAAAAACGTACTTATGGATTCACAAGCATCAATGGTAGAAATTTATTAATAAATTTCTAATATGCAAATTATTTAACCTGCATTTCTCTAGATATTGTAAAAATTATATGATTTTTTTATACGAAGGGTTATATATCAAATGGAAATTTCATTTTTAATCTTTAAAAAAGATGAGTTTTAAACTATAACCTTGTATAAGATTAAAATTCAATTTTAGTCCTGGTACATTTAATCATCTCAGTTATTATTTATATTTTGATGTTTTATTTATCTTTTTCTTTTTTAATGTATTAATTACATTTAAATTTAATTTTCATTTCATTCATCATAATATATTTTAGGAAAAATTACACTTAGAGTATACTTTTAATACTTAATTATAAATTGAGACTACACTTTTTAAACATTTCAAGAAAGGACATTTTTTAAACCCGTGTAAGATGACGTCATGTCTTGTTTTTCCATTAGAAAATGAGTTACGTATTATGTTAAAACGCGATCGGCAGTGATTCGAATAATACAAATTATATTTTCATTTCTCTGCTACTTTTCTTTCTCTTTGAAGTTTATCTTTTCTGATTTATCTCTTGTCATCTCCTTGATTATCTCTCGCCATAATTTCTATTCGAATCATTCAAGTTTTCTTTGAAGGTAAGTGTTTCTCTTAAGTTTATCTCTCTGAATTTTATGTGTTCCGATTTAGATTTTTTGAAAAGTTGTGTGTTTTTGAATTTATTTCGGTTTATATTTTGAAAGAGTCTTTGATTTTTCAGTTTTTTATTGGTCGCATTGAGTTTTTTGGATTGTTTTTGTTTTTTGAAGTCACGGTTTTTGTCACATCCCGGCCCGGGGCGGACCCCTTCCCGGGCTTGCTCCACCACCGTAGCACAATATTGTCCGCTTTGGGCTTACCATTCCCTCACGGTTTTGTTTTTGGGAACTCACGAGCAACTTCCCAGTGGGTCACCCATCATGGGATTGCTCAAGCCTCATTCTCGCTTAACTTCGGAGTTCTTACGGAACCCGAAGCCAGTGAGCTCCCAAAAGGCCTCGTGCTAGGTAAGGATGGGAAATACATTTAAGGATCACTCCCCTGGGCGATGTGGGATGTCACAATCCACCCCCCTTAGGGGCCCGACGTCCTCGTCGACACACACGCAGCCAGGGTTAGGCTCTGATACCAAACTGACACACCCCGATCGAGATCAGGGCATGTTGGCCGTCACGTGGAAGTGACGTAACCATGTGCAGAGTGCGGAAGCTAATAAAACAATAATAGAAAAAGTACGAATAAATAAAAACTAGCATACATAAGGTAATAGAAATAAGTGCTAGCGTAAATGAGACACAAGTTCAGAGCATAACGCCTAAAGCAGTCCAAACGAAAATGACGCGACAACAGTACACCCTAAGGTGACCCTACGCTGGTGATCGTCTGTCAGAAATGCCGGGAAAGCCCTCTGGGAAACCACCAAACCTGCTAGACAGCTAGAACCTGGAGGGGCGCAAAACAAAAGCGTGAGTGGGTAAAAACAAAGCTTTTCGAAAACCATTTAACAAATAAGTTCTAACCCCTCGCCGTAAAACCTGTATACTTCCCAGAAAGTAAACATATGTACATATATATATAAATGTATCAATCATGCTTCAGGATATGCCATGCCAAATCTCACAATAAAATGCAAGTGCTCAGGTGAAAATCATATCCATAACATATAGTCTGGCAGCCAGAGTCACCTAACGTGACCTGTACGGCTGCATCTAGAGCTTAAATCTCAATCTCAATAACTAAACCTGCCCACGAGTCGGAACCACCTAAACTGGTCTGTACGATAGGCCTGGGTGTAATACATATAAACGCTCTAGTGCTACGATCACGTGAAGGCTGTGCGAATAATCGCGGGTCACCTACGAGTCGGAACCACCTAAAGTGGTCTGTACGACAGGACTGTGCACCTAACTTGGATCCAAGCTGAGCGTGTGGTGCGGGATGTGAACAACACGTGAAGGACTGTGCCCTACTCTGGGCGGGAGCACTAACACCGGGGGTGCAGGTTATGAGCTCTCTAAGCATCTCGAATCACTACTGAATGTAAACATGAATAACACTTACCTGGCACTTACCTGTGCGTCCGCAGCACCCAATATGCATATGTATATATATACAACTAATAATGTAACTAACAATGCATAAATAACGACAATCTAATGCATGGCATATGGCAAATGACAATTCAAATCAATTTCTGGGAAAAAATATAAGTATATAGGTATATACGGAAAACCAAAAGCCCACTCACTGGTAAGTGGAAGGGTCGTAACCCCCCTGCCTCGAGTGACCACGCTCGTCCTCGGGATACGTCTCACCTATATGCGAAATAACTATAAAAACGTTAATTTTAAAGCACATAACCAAACTTTAGAAATAACTTCTCATACAATGCTCAAATGGGGTGTATGAATACACCAACGTGATCTACTCAACCTCAGGAACATCCCCATATTTTTAAAATAATTTTTCACCGCCGCACGCGCCCTCACGCGCCGGCCAAGGCACGGCCACATGCGCCGGCCACGCGCTGGCACGCTGACGGCGTCAACTGACCCCGTAGGGAATATTCCGTCAGATTTAACAGATTCTGTCAACGGCGTCAGGAATATTCCGTCGTCTTCTCCGGCGCCGGAAAATCGCGAAAACTTTAAAACGTCCCAACTCCTTCGTTTTTCAACCAAATTTCACAATATTGGTACCAAAATGAAGCTTAGAACTAGAGGAACACAATCATACCACTTTCAAGTGCTAAAAACCACGAAATCTCACCTGGAAAAACAACCTAACTCCGGCCAACTTCGAAACTAGTGATCCCGACGTCCAAAACCATCAAACGAACCACCCCGAGCCTCCTAGGGACCTCACCAAGCTACCTACAAGCTTGAAATTCCCTAAAACGTGAGAAATCACGTGTGCATGAACAGTACCTCAAATCGGACATCGTGTAATCGACGTGAAAACGAAGGTGTTCTTACCTGAAATGGGCATGGTTGGACTCCTACAAGCCTCACGAGTCTGAATATGTGCTTGGATTCCACGATCTGTGAAGGTTTGATAGGTTTAT